AGCGCGGTCGCCATACATTGAGCAGTAATTGAACTAGCCAGGGTTGGGAACTCCCTGTAGCTCCGAACACCTCCCAGCTTAATGGGGAACAAAACGGAATATGGATACTCCCAGCGACCCTCAGTCGCTCAGCACCAGCTATAGTCAATATTTAAACAATTGAGGTTTTGGGTCAGTTGACTGACCTATTAACTTGGTTGCACACCGATGAAAAGCGGACAAAAGTGGCTGGCTGCAGCAATTCAACAAGTCAAGAACGGAATCTTTCAGTTCTGGCTTTTCTGCTAACCACCTTAAAGCCAATGAACTACCAAAAGCAAACCATCGTTGCCTTTGTGGAGGAATCAATATATCAGAACCGTGCGAAAGTCTGCTATGCTACTGCCTCTTTAAGGAATCTCTATCTACTTGATGTGGAAGCACGGAGAAGAATATGCACAAACAGTAGGCCAGGAGGTCAGCACAAACAATAAGCTTGTTGACACAAGCTGATACGAGAAGTGGGAGTCCACAACCTGATACGGAGAAAGTGGACTCCACAACATTCAACAAGCATCAAGGGCAGTGTTCCAAAACAAATCCAAAACATTTCACAAGCAGCAAAGGCATGTCCTTTCAATCTTTTGGGGCAATTAGTGGGCCGCAGGCCGCAGGGCACAAAACATAACCGGCGACTGTTCGACATGATGCCGCCATGGTGCAGGGTGTTGTACAAGTACATCCGAGGTGTTTTGGAACACTCTTCCAACAGTAGTCCAGCAATCCCCGGTCGCCTCCAATGATCAGAACGATTGACCGACCTGTTAACCTGTAAAACAAGGGTTGTTTGATGTTGCTTGGTCAAAAATAAGAACGTGAAATCCATGCGTTCTTGGATATGGCTGGAATCCCCCCCAAAACAAAAATACAAAACACGAACAGAAACTGGAGACCCAGTCCAACCCCTGATCTCGATCTACCGCCAGCCTCACGCGATGGTCGCTTCTCTCGTGTTGACTCGCAGTGCTCCAAGATCCATCGTTGTAAAGCCCTGGCGGATTCCAAACAGATCCCTTCGATCGGTGCGAGAAAATCCAACTGAGTTGGCAACATGCTTCATAGGAAAACCAAGCTAGACTATCTTGTGTCACCAACTCCAGTTGGTGAGATGCTGCATGTTAGTTCTATTTTTGGAAGTTTGAGGGGGAAAACAAGATCCGATCGTTGAAGATGAAGCTCCTAGCAAACTCCACCCGGGAAAAAGAAAGAAACACACACACACATGTGCATGATGGGCTCTTCAAACAGGGCCCAGCTGGTGATGGAGGATGGTCTTGAAGGCTTCGGGCTCATCGAGCGCATCTAAGGAGGGAAAGCATGACATGTTGTTTCCCAATGCAGCAAACCCACAGCACGAGCATGGACCCGGCTGCTTGACATGGACACCAGGTACAATCCTGTGCATCAATTGGTGGATGCAAAGTTTTGGGTTTCGCTCCTGCAAACAGATACATCCGACCAATCTCCCAAGGTTTGTGTCATGAAATATCCAATGTATCAAGCTGACATTCCCTCTTTTCCTGCACAAGCCACTCGAATGGCCTTGGACTGATTGGCCAAGAACACTCTGGTTCCTGGGTAACAATTTTTTGTGAGCTCCGGTGGCAGCACACCTCGTACGAGGAAGACTTCTGTTTTCCATGTCAATACTCACAAAGCTTCTGGCTGAAGGCCGTGGCACCACCTCATAACATCTCGTTCCACCTCATAACATCTCGTAAGCAAGCTAATCGAAGTCCGGTGAGACCCCAAAAAAAGCCGGTGGAGGATGTATTTGTTAAGGGTCTCCTTCACTCAATGCAGTTCATGTCCAACAACCTGATGCTAGTCCTGATGGTTTTTTGGTGCATGCCACTTCAACATAAATTCTGGTTGACTCCTCTCTTCACAGGGGAGTCTTAATTTTGATCTGGCGTACTTCGTGAAACTCCAAAAGATTCCATAGGCACCTACCCCGCAGTGACTGCGGGAGCCATCGGAGCCATCGGAGCGACACTTGCGAATTAAAGGCGCACAAAAGACCAGCCGAAACTCGCATCTGCGCCATCTGAAGGAATCGTGTCTGAGCAGCTCGGCGAAGGAACCAGTGTCCATATATATATATATACATACTACGGCAGGTTGCAGCAGGTTGCAGCATAATAGCGCTATAATTTAGAGCTATATCATTATATACCAGGATCATCCTGCCTGGGTGTCCTGGCTAGACTACCCTACCTACTTATAGGTCTCCAGACAGGGCACCCATTGGAAGTGCTATAGGTATAGTATTACCGCATGTTGCAGCATAATAGAGCTATATAAATGATCAACCTGGAAGTGTGATTGGTCAAAGATCAACAACCTCTGTGAAAGACCGCGCGGGTCACACAATCGTGGAAGGCCATCATGCACAACTGCATGTAGAAGGCTCCTCATTTGGAGTAAGTTTGGGAAGGTATGTCCAGGTAGAAGCTTCCAACTCAGCAACACTTGCACGTGTGGCTCCCAATCACCAGCCTCAGCCATGAGCCATCGAGGAGTTTCACTTGCACCGAGCTTGACCCTGTTGGCAAGCTCGGACTCTGCAGGGGCTCCGGTGGCCAAATTCAGTCACGATCGGCAAAAACACCGAGCAGGAGTCTTCTTTCGGATCGGCTGCATATGTTTTCTGGATGCTGCTGGCGGTCAAATATTGCAAATGGGGGGGGGGGGGGGGAGGAAAGCATGTGGAGCAATGATCTCAAGTGCTGATACTGTCTCGCACTTCAATGCGCCAGCAAGCCAAAAACAAAACACCTCCCCCTGCACCGGAAATCACCGGAAAACCACAAAAACAGGTGCCTCCGTTGCCTAAAACACCAACCAACGGTACAGTTATCAGCGATGGTATCAGGTATCATGATGAGATACTGGCGCAGGGCAGCGATGGTCTCGTGCGACCTTTTTGATGGTCTTGCTCCTCCGGCGCCGATCGTGGCCTTTTTCGGTTCTTCTGACGCCGGTCTCAGCACCTCGCGACAGCGGGACCGGCCGCCCATGGCACTGAGTGGGAGCGGGTGGTCCACAGATGTCAAGGGCAACATGGTCCTTGAAAGACTCAAAAACGATTTGAGCTTGTAAGTCTAATGCATGGAATATCTTGCTAGAGGGAGTTCCCACATAAACTCACTGACCCTCCGACAGCTTGAGTGCTGTTTGGGGGGCAGAATGTGAGAAGCACCTCGGATCCTGGTCAACGGATTCACCTTGGGTATACGGTTCACTCTGAGTAGATTCATAGCAACACTGGATCATTATGGCTAACAGGAACCTTTACCAACTATCTGTATTTTGATAAGCTGACTTCCCTTGCAGTTCTGGTTGATAGACAAACAAAAAAAGCTGCTTGGTAGTGGGTGAAACCAAGCAAAAAAAAACACCAACACTTACCCATCACCGACCTCGCTCCGTCGCTCGTCTACCCCCAAACAAGTCGGTCGCGTTCGTCGTTTCGGCGCCGTCTCGCTCGGCTTCCACACACCACGCGGACGGACCGAGAGTCGCCACGGCTTGGTCCTCACACCTTCACAGTTGAGAGGTCTTGGGTTCAGTTCGCCACCCGGTGCCGCCTCAGTTCGGAGGTTCTGAGCGATGGGATCGAGGTTCTTCTCACCCGAAGCCTTGTCTTCTGGAGTTGGTGAAGTCCATTCACCAGCAGTAACTTGGAAAAAAACAGACAAAACAAGCTGGCGGAGACATCCAGTGTTATTTTTTTCCTGTGCATGTTTGGATCGATGATCAGCATGCCATCGACGCGGATTGACCGTTCGATGCGACGCTTTTGATTGCAGTATATATCCCATACACTCCATGGGACTGCCATAGGACTGCCGCCCCATTGACCCTCCTGGCACCACCCCTGGCTCTGGGCAGTCCGGACTGGCAGTCCCATGGGTCGCGTCTGGGTATGTTGACCATTGTGTTCTTCTTGATCCACACATCCTATCCACTTGGCTGGAAATGACCGGTTCATGACCGGTTCATGATCGATGTTTCACTCCAAGCCACCAGTTCTGAACCAATACTCCAAGAAGACTTCCAACAACTGAGAAGCTCACAAGCTCTGAGCTTCTTTTAACGCTTCAAGCAGCCATACGGTACTAGCCGGTAGCCTATACAAGTTCTGAGAACCTGATCAAGCAGTTCTGAGAAACTCCAACTCCAGCATGTCAAAGTTGTTTTTATTTTATTTTCTTTTTTTTTTTTCGGTGGACACTGCGGGGGTCCGGACCGGACGGCCACCGGATCTGACCGGACGGCCACCGGGCGCCGTCGTGGGCCATGCGGGTCTGCTTTTTGGGTGCGGCACGGTGCTTCGGCACAGCGGCTCAATTCAATGGATCTGTACCAGGGCCCCCCCAGAAGCAGGGGTGGTTCAGGGCTATTACTAAACACTCCTTAGGGGGCCCTGGTACATGTGACTTGCTTGTTAGGTTTGCTTCCTGCTAGATAACTGTCCTTCAAACACATCCTTTGGGCCAAGTTTCCCAAATATTGGATAACAACCACCCGGAATTTGATTTGGCCCAACTTCATCATTATGAAGAGATGTAGTCTTTAGGATATTTTTCCTCGTGAAAGGATTTAGCGGATCTCTTCTCATGAATCAATGTATTTTTGGGGACCTCTGGTCCACATTAGTTTGGGTGGTAGTGCTTCACATCATTTGGTTCCCAAACCTTCTGACCTTCTCAGAGTTATTAATCAGGTATAATCCGGTGATTGTTGCGGAAGTAATCCAAACACATTCAAACAGATTGTAAGCAAGGCACTTGCTGTCCACGTCATGCCAATTGGGACATGTCTGTTTAATACCGTCCCATTGATCACCTCCAAACAGTTCCAAACCCTCCATCCTACAGTCTCAAAGGTCTTGGGCATTGGGGATTTCAGATTCTTTCTCGCAAACCATCTTCCGCTTCCATGTTTCTTGGAGGCTTTCACCCTCCAAACTTCTTGCACGGATCCCGGTCGTCGCTTGCCACGAACTCGCCCAACTCTGCCGAGCCGCGTGTGATGAGGTCGAACCTCTGCCGATGTGCCTGACGCGCCTGGCACAAAGGGGGGAGGAAAGTCGACTTGCTTGGGCACAACAAGCATCCCATCTAAGAAGAAGGAAGACTATTTCAAACGTCTTGCCCACCAAATGGATCAGCCAACATCTACGTCTCCAAGTCTTCTTGCTCTTCTTTCGAACGTCTTCTTGCTCTTCGTCACCGTTCGGATCCGAAAAAACAAAAAAGACCACTCTGTTCATTCGTGGAGCCTTCGGAGCGGAACCTGAACGACGCCGAACGCGGAACGCAGAACGCATGGGCACGAATTTCAGGGGGAAAAATCACATTGAGACACTCAACGATTCCAAAAGAACATATGTCAATGTATTGTATGTCTATAATGTGAAGGTATCTGTTGGCCATCCCAAACATGTGGGTGTTTCATTCATCAAGAGTCCACATCGACCAATCCTGTGCTCCTCCAACCGAAAAAAGATGCGGCCGCCTGCGCCTGGGCCTCGGCAGATGCACCTGGACCGAAAGGACTCAAAGGAGGGTGTCTGGCACCGGAGGCGGGCTTGGTTTGCAAGGTGGCTTCGACCTTACCGTCAAAAAACATGGTCCAAGAAAGTCCATGGGATAGAGCCTGGATGTATCCAATGAGTTTCAAGGGCAATTCAAGGGCACTAGGATCACTAGGGACTAGGGGCCTCATACAAAGCAGCCGTTCTTTGTTGTCAAAGGATTGCAACCAGTCCAGACTGCGCACTGCAGCCCAGGCTTGCTGCGCGGTCCGGTCCCCAAACCCATCTGATGTATGTGTCTCTGCCGTCTGATCCTTTCAAAGACGTATTGCTGAATTATTACAGTAGTTATGCACTGTATCTTTTGGGTCAATCCTATTACCTGTAACAGTGGATGATGATTCTTACTAGACGCCTAATAGGACAAACCCAATGTCCCAATGTATATTACTTGCTGTAGAACAAAAAAAAGAAAGGGGACCTTCAAGATATTTGAATATCAAACCTGGCCACTTGCGGATCAACAGGGTCTCTGAGAGGTCCGGCAAGGCCGCCCAAACCGCCAGGACGACCGCAGGATTCCCGGCGCAGCCGAAGAAACGCCCTGAACCCCCCACCGGTGCCTGCATCTGCTCGCAGCTGGCGAGTCCTAGGCTGAAGACAGTTCCCTGGTTCTGTGGCAGTCCTTTTCTCCCATACCAATCATGCCAACTTCCTCTTCCGCATGAACGCCTTGGTGGCTGAATCAGGTGTTGCATGTTTTGTGGTCCATTATGGGTGTTTGATGGTGCTCCAATTGGCCTCCACATGGAAACATATGCGTCCACTCGAGAGCAACCAATCGCAGGTTGCGAGGTGCTTGGAAGCGCATAGGCTTCCTCTACGGCCTTTTTGCGGAAGCTAAGCTGGTGTACCAGCCGGGCTTTTGGCATGACAGTCAGTAACGATATGTAACGATAATATTTACACTCTGTATAATCCCCAGGGATCCTGGCCCATCTCCTCAAATTCGGTGGGCACAGACCCCCCTGAGGTGGGCCAGGAGCCCTAGGGAATCCACTGTGATGAGATGTGTGATGTTTTGTTCTTGACGCCATGTTCTGACACCGTGTTGCCTCTGTTTCTGTGCCCAGCGGCTTTGCTTCCAAGGCGTCCAGCTGCTGATGAAGCCTCCAGCGCGCGACACTCACGTGCGACGGCCTTCAGGCCAGGAAGGGTGAAGGCTTTCCACCATGACTGGCCCGGTGGTCCAAGCAAAAAGGTCTATTTGGGGTGGTCTTCACCGGCCTGAAATCAAACAAAGTCCAGGTCCAGCTTCTGTATGTGTTCTTTCTTTTTTCCGAAGCACTGGGCCTGGGAATCATAGATGGATCACTTCGCGAAGACCTTTCTTGGTCGCTGTATTTTAAATGTTTGCGAGCAACGCAAACACTTCAGTAGTGCATGGTTTGGTGGATGGCATGATAGCATGACCTTTGTTAGGGTTACCTCAGCCTAGGTCAGGATTCCTGGCACAGTTGACCTTCCAAACCGCGAAGGCTTCACCCTATCCTTCACCCTACTAGCGATGGCCTCCAACCTCATAGCGATGGCCTCCTCTACTGGAGCTGCACGTGAACATTTCATGATCCTCTTTTCGCATTGCTTTCCCAGTCTGCCCACAGTTTTCCGTGCCGATCGCTTTCCAGCCTTCGTGCCGGAATGGTCCCTGCCTAGCGAAAAAACGGCTGAACGCTTTTTTCAGTCTCAAAAGTCAAGAGATGTCAAGAGTTAGTTTCCTAAATTAGATTGAACACTCCTAGGTCAGAGCAACATTCAGTGTACCATCCACACAGCGTCCATCAAACTGGATTACTCTGAGATGGGTGCCAGCCAGCCAGCCTGGAAAAAAGAAACACCTATGACCCCATGACCCCATGACCATCTGACCTGACTCCGAACTCCAAGGCGCAAGAACTGCTTACTGTTTGGTTTTCGAATTCTGACCAACGTCTATGAGACGGTCAGTGGGTTTCATCATCCAGTAAAGGCTAAACATGGGTCTAAACCCCACGGAAGGCCCACTATAGGACCCTCCGTCTCGGCCGTCTCGGCCGAGACGCGGCCGAGACCCCGAACCCACCCCGGACGACCTGTTCGTCCGGAATCGACTCCGGGTGGCTTCGAAGTCGAGTTCTGGAGGAAGAAATGAAGGAAACTCATACCTGGATCTTCCAACTATGCCCAATTTCTGCCTTTTGGCTGATTTTTTGGATGAAAAAGGCAGAAATTGGTAACAGTCGGAAGATCCAGGTATGAACAGTTTTTCTGGAGAACCAACGATGAGTTCCAGAAATCGAAACTTCTTCAATGAAATGCGTTCCGGAGAGAATGACATGAACTAGTTTGATTTCTGGTCCTTTTGAAACATTTTGAGAACTAATATGAGTTCTGGATGTTCCAGAGAGTTCGAACCGATCCACGTCCCCATCGACCTGCCACGTCGCCTTGAGGGTCTCCTTGGCCTCTTGCAGCAAACGTCCAAAGGAGATCGACTCCTGGCGGTGTTGGTCTGGCGTGGACTGCGAGGATCCTGAGAGAGGTCTGATCTCCAATCGTGTCCCAAGCGAAAAGGGGCCGGGAAGTACAAACGTTTTCCTTTTAGAAGGACCTAGTGAATGTCAGATTTTTTCATGGCACAACGCAATCAGCAACTTGGAGTTGGAGTTCGAAGCCACCTCTATAGGGGAATATGATTGCTTTTTCCATGTCTATGCAGCATCCCCACGCATCCCCGATTCTGCTGGAGAGTGTTCTTCGAAGGCTGCTGGAGGGGACCTGTCTCCTACTCTACAAGGCAACGTATTGATGAGTTTCGGGGGGAGGTCACTGACCAACACTTTTGGGCGCGTGTGGGCTCGTACTTCCTCAAGTGTTGGGACCCCACTGGCGCCAAAGACCTTCTCAGGATGTACGGAGTGAGCCACCAGGTTGGTCCAATCTTCCAACATCTTCCAACCCATTTGGGTCTGCTGGGCATCGACCGAGTTGGAGGGCCCCTCAGCTGTGAGGGTAGCTTCCGTCAGTGTTGGAATCTACCCTCGTCGCAAGCTTGATTCCCGAATCGAGTGGTCCCAAGTACACCTAAAGTTCATTGATCCGATTCAGACCAGTTCCATACCACAGACACTGCCTGGAATGGTTACGATGGTTACTTTGATGGCATGGCACCTTGGAAGACCATTTTCCTCTACAAACAGGCTGTTTTCTACTTCCATGTTAGGTGTAGGGAGAGTACCTTGCTTGCTTTCTCTCCCTCCAATGCGGTGCAGCATGTTTTGCACCCCATCGGTCTCCTGAGCGATCCGGGTGACAGATGCCTGAGCGGGATGTAACCGCACATCATAACCTGATGAGCCGCTTCTTGTGTCCACAGTGGTTTCTTGCCTTCATGTCGAAGCTGTGGTTCCTCTAAGCAGTTGGGGCTTGGAACAAGGTGTGTTGACTGAACATGTCCGTTGGATCCAGCATGATCTGCCTGGATCCTCGGAACCCTTGCGAGCACAAATCGTCAGCCCTATCTTTGACCAAGCTCAAAGCTTTCCTGGAGGGGGAGGGTTGGCAAAGTGAGGCTCTACTCTAAAAGGGCAGCAGCCTGGAGATGGTGAAGAGTGATGAATCGTGTTTGGAGATCGAGACCTGGAAACTGGACACATGTTCACGAAAGAAGCGTTAACTGCTCGGATGCTCCCGGCCCCGCCCCGGCTCCGGAGTGACATCACCATGTGCCTGCAAAGCCTTCTTGGAAGAGGCGGGCGCTTCCACCACTTCCCGGTGCTCCTCCGGATTCTCCTGCGTTCAACCAATCCGAGCGTTCGGACGATTCATCAGCCTCGGCCTGGGTGGGCGGGGTGATTCTACTGGTGATTCTTTACACGGGGTCAATGAATATGCCTAAGTATGGCATTCTGTGCATCCCATGCCCTGTAACAATGGATGACGATCGGCTAGTAGGCGCCTTTCTCATAAATAGTGATCATCTTTTGTTGACTGTTAGGAGGTCATGGGACAAACATATTGTATATTTCTTCCAGTCCCATGGATGGATTGGGACTTTCCAGGTGTTTCAGTGGCGCAACTAGCAGTTCCGAGGCCCCACGGCTTCCATGCGTGGTTTGTATCCAACGCATTAGACTCGTGATGTTTGAACCCCCCCACACAAACACCTCTTTGGACTTTGGGGGGTGTATAAATCATGATTAATCCAGAGTCTACATTATATATATATAGTGTCTCAAATGATCTGTCAAGAGGAGACCCATGACATAAGACATAAGCCCCCTCGCTGAACAAGGACGTTCCCAGTCTGGCAGAATCTATGGCGCCCCAAACGAATTGCCGTGCTGACATCCATGGCACTGCAGGAAAGGTCACATTTTGCGCGATGCCATCTGCATCTTTTGAAGGATTAGCTCATGAGCTGTTGGTTCATAAACAATCCCAAGGCTGCGCCTGTGATGGATGACAGTGCAGGGTCAGCCACACAATTCTTTCGTCACACACCAAAAAGTACAAGTATGTCCCACTTGCCATCAAGGCAACCAGCCTTTTAAGCAAGAGCCTCTTTGATGAATCAGCCCCTGGACCAAAGGACGAGGGGAAGGTGTGCATCCGCACCTTGCTACAAGTAGTAATGCCATTGCTACTAGTAGCTACTAGTACAGTAACTAGTAGTAATGGCCTCCAACCTAATAGCAATGACCTCCAACCTAGTGGCATCCTTCCTCCTAGTAGTAAACAAAGTGTTCGAAGAACTTGCTTCACAAGGCCATCCAGCTCTTCCATCTCCGAATCACAAGCGCCAAAAACACGTCTTGGGGCGTCCCAAGCTCAGGAGGAGATGAGGTGCGCACTGTGCTCCAGCATCACTGGCGTTGCATGAAGGAGTTATGTATATAGAAAGCACATCTTTAACACGGCCATGTTGGCCTAACATGGACCCTGTGGTTTCGACCATTTTCCGAATACCAACCTCTAGTGGTTTTGGTGGTCCATGTGGTCCTCTGCGGAGTATCTTCCTCTGCCAGGTTCGAAGGTTGTTGTCTTTAAAGGTGCGTCAAGCGAAAGCGATCTTCAACTCGAGGTGGCTGTCTAAATTTCTTCAAGGTCAACCAGAATGACCTCTAAACAAACAAACCAAACACCATGGAGCAGGCAGAACATGATAGACTTGCACACCCCACCAATCTGAAAAAACATCCTGGAGACCATACATCAGGACATCAAGTCTCATCTTTCGTGTTTGCCGTCAATGATGCTCGAGGTCAAATCGCCCCATCTGGAAACATCGCCATGCTTGTGTGATCATCTGTACATGATACATGCATCTCGCGGAATTCCTCTGCCTCATGCGCAGAGTGAAAGCGAGCCCTTTCTTGGCCAATCTTGGAGCAAGTGATTGCATGCGAGTCATTTGCGACGTAATTCAGCATACATGTGCGGTATTGAAACCCCAAATATGGGATGTCAGCTAATAAATAGAGCATTTCAATGCGTTCCGGAATATTAATCTACCCTCTGCCTGCGAACAGCCTCTTGGTTGGTTCTGTCAAGCTCAAAAAATAACAGGCATCCGAGCCAGGAGTCAACAGTGAGGAAGGCAAATTCGTGTAGACGATCCCCGTGTAGACTGACTCTCCAACTTGCCAGGTGGACTGGAGAATCAAAGAAAGTGGACCATGAGGAACCTGTATGCAGGGTGTTCAGATCCATGCTCATTCGGGTTCCTCCGCGTTGACTGGACGAGGGCTTTCGTCAAACCCCTCTGTATATAATATATAACTATATAATACTAGTATATATATATATAATATATGTATTTTTTTTACAATTTACAATTAATCCATACAAATCCTCCTCCTGAAAATGCGGATGGCGACTCCACTTTCGGCCGGGGAGGACTCTGAAAACCAACTCACCAAGCAACGACGCTGTGCAGCAGGACTTTTGCCATGCACGGGCTCGAAACAAAGCGGCCCGATCTCTGGAAGTGGGGTATACGGGACTGTGCTCGGCCCGACCTCCATCACTCGGTTGACAAAGCTTGAAGCGTTGGACACCAAGCGAGAAGTGTGAGTTCTTCTGTATGCAGAAACATCTGCAGGCTGGGCCAAGTGTCACTTCCCCAACCCACACAGAATTTGTACGGCCAAACAATCTGGTATAAGGCGTCCAGTTAGTCCTAAAGTGGTCCGGGTTGGCCGAGAATGCAAGTCACCACCGTAAGTTTTTGACATAAGTTAGCGAGTTATAGGATCAAAACCACTTTACCCTGTAGAGAAACATCCACGGTCATCTCAACCTGAGCGTTTTGTTTCATGAGGAGGTAGATATAGTCTGAGATCAAACCCCCACTTCTATGCATGTAGGCTTCTCGTGCCGAGAAACGCCTGGGCTTCCAAAATCTATTTGGACTGGGCAATGGAATTTCTGGCTGCTTGCAGCCACGCGATGATCCAAGGGCCATAGGACCCTGCATGGTTTCAGCTTGTGCTCTGTCTTGGCAAATCGTCGATGGAGGCCCCCTCCATTCTGCTGAGGACACAATCACCATCAATGATGTTCACTAAGTTCCCCCCAAGCATAGTCTGTTTTGCCGCGCCCCACTCCACTTGAGCAAAACTCTGGAAAGGTCAAAGAACTCTTGTTCACCCAATCACTGCAGCCCTTTTATACTGCCGTGCCGTGAGT